GGGCTGGGTGGGGGGGGGGCGCGGGGAGGGGTCCCTGGGTGCTTGTGTGGCTGCGAGAGCCCCCGGCTCATCTCTGTGCCTTGCCCGGGCCCCCGGCCCCGGGCCGTGTCCGGGGGGGATCATTGTCCCTGTCCCGGGGCCGTGGCATTGTCGCTGTCCCCGGGATGTGTCCCCACCCCGGAGTGAGGGGGGGGAGCACCGTCCCCGCCCCCGGGCTGAACTGCACAACCGTTTTTACACTTTTTTACCCCAGGAGCACAGCGGCCCCCCCCCGGCCTCGGGGCCCCACCCGGCCCGGAGCGGGGCCCCCCCACCTCAGCAGCAGCTGTTTTAACCTTTAATAAAGCTTTTTGTAACTCTGCTGGGCCCCCCAACCCTGCTGGGCCCCCCACACACCAGCCCTCCCCCCAGGAAGGAGTGACACGGGGGGGCTTCACTGGGGTGTATTTATTGGGGGGGTTCAGAGCACGTGGGGGTGGGGAGCACAACTGGGGGGACCTGACCCACACACTGGGGGGGACACGAGTGGGACATACGGGGTGGGGGGGTCATTTATGGGTGGGGGAGATCCCCGGAGGGGTGGGGGGGGTTGTTTCTAGGGCCTGTCCCAGGTGAGCCCCCCCAGCTCCAGGGCTGGACCCCCATTCCCCCCTCCCGGCCTCGCAGGGCCCTGGGAGCACAGGCTGGGGTCACCTCAGCTCCCAAGGGGGGGTCAGGGACAGTCAGGGCGGCTGGAGGGGACCTGGGGACGTCCCTGGGGTCCCGCTGCAGCTGCTGCTGCTGTTTCCAGCCCCGGAGCACAGCTGGGGCCTCAAACATCTGGCCAGTGGCCATGGGACTGCAGCATCCCGTGGGGATTTGGGATGCTGGGGGGTTGGGATGCAGGATCCCCCAGGTCCCCCTGGGCTCCCTCCCCCCTTTTTCCCCTCCCCAGCAGCCGTGGCTGGCAATGCTGCACGCTGGGGCGCTGGGCTGGGCTCTCCGGCCGGAGCAGCAGGTAGCACAGGTTTCCCGGGATCCTCCCGTCTGAGCCGGCTCTGTTCCCAGCCACGCCACCCTCCGGGAAGGGCGGGAGGCCGCGGGAGGATCCCGGAGCCGGTGGGAGCCATGGGAGGATCCCCTCGGGGGTGCTGCAGCCGGAGCAGCTCCCAGCCCTCGGGAGGGCTTCGGGCAGGGGGGGATCCCGGCCGGAGCTGCAGGGGGGTCTGTGCTCGCCCCTTCCCCCGGCGGCGCCGCCGGGGCGTGCCGGCATTCCCGTTATCCCGGCAGTCCCGGCTCAGGCGGCGCCGTAGCAGAGGATCTCGCTCAGGTCGTAGCCGGTGACAGCGAAGGTGTCCCCGGCGGGGTCGCAGAAGCGGGCGCCGCACACCTGAGTGTCCGTCACACACTCGGCGTGGCAGTGCTGCATCTGCGGGGCGAGCGGATCCACACGGAATTCCAGGAATTCACAGCTCCAAGGGCCACATCCCTGCCCCCTGTCCACGTCCCAAACCCGGACTGACCTCGATGTCATCGGTGTCCGGGTCCCTGCTGAGCTTCCAGACGTGGACAAAGGAATCCTCTGCACCCGAGAGCAGCTGCCAGGGGAGCACGGCACCGTGGGGACACCACGGAGGTGGCAGTGCCACCGGCAGGGTGGGACACCGGGGCGGGATGCCAGGGTGGAATGCCAAGTGGGATGCCAGGTTGGGATTTCAGGTTGGAAGACCAGGTTAGGATTTCAGGATGGAATTCAAGGTGGGATGCCAGCCTGGGATTTCAGGCTGGGATTTCTTGATGGAATGCCGGGTTGGGATTTCAGGTTGGAATGCCAGGTGGAATGCCAGATTGGGGATTTAAGGATGGAATGCCAGGTTGGGATTTCAGGTTGGGATTTCAGGATGGAAGGCCAGGTTGGGATTTCAGGTTGGAATGCCAGGTTGGGGATTTAAGGATGGAAGGCCAGGTGGGATTTCAGGTTGGGATATCAGGTTGGAAGGCCAGGCTGGAACACCAGGCCGGGATGTCAGGTTGGAATGCCAGGCTGGGATTCCACCTTGGAATGCCAGGCTGGGATGTCAGGTTGGAATGCCAGGCTGGGACTTCTGGACGGAATGCCAGGCTGGGATTCCACGTTGGAATGCCAGGCTGGGATGTCAGGCTGGAATGCCAGGTGGATGTCGGGGTGGGATGCAGGTTGGGACACTGGTCAGGATGCCAGCATGGGACGCTGAGTGTGATGCCAGGCGTGACTCCAGGCGTGACCCCGTCCCCTCCGTACCTTGCCGCTGAGCGGTGCCAGGTCGAGCGCGTAGATCCAGCGGGCGTGGGCGCTGACCTGGGCGCGGATCCGCCCCGACGCCGCCTCCCACAGCCGGATCTGCCCGTTCCCATAGCCCGCGGCCACGATCCCGTTCCACAGCGCCACCGAGGAGCAGCTGCAGCTGGACACACGGCCACGTGTCACCACCTCGGGGCTGTCCTTTCCCCGCGTCCAACACCCTGCGGGATCCCCGGGGCTCACCCAGATCCCGGGATCTTCCCCAGCAGGGTGAACTCCTCCCCGCTGCTCCAGAGGCAGAGCGTCCCGGAGTCATCGGCTGTCACCAGGTCCCCAGCCCCGTCCTGTGGGGAGAGATGGCTCAGGGACAGCGGGCAGTGTCCCCAGCTCTGGGATGGCACCGGGACAAGCTGGAACAGCTCCTCAAGGGCTGACAGGTCCCGGCCGGAGCGGGGCCGGCAGCGCCCAGGGGTGGCTCCGTTGGAACTCGTCTGTCCCTGCCCACGCTGCCACGCCAGGGTGGATTTTGAGGAAGAATCAGGGCACCCCTCCCTCCCTCCCTGCCTCCGAGAGGATTCCCGGCTCCTCCCGGCCCTGGGAATGCCCCAGAGCAGCCCTGGGAACCCTCGGAGCAAAGCCCAGGGGGCTGTGAGGGGACTGGCGGCAGAGGGAGGTGACAAGAGCTCCGTGTCCCCGCGGTGACACGGCAGCTCGGGAATGGCATCTGGGGGATGAATTCCTTGGGGAACCCAGAGCAAGGAAAGTTCAGTGACTCATCAGGGAAAGTGCTGAGTGGGAGGAAACTGGCTGCTGAGTCTGCAGGGACCTGCCCTGTGAGCTTCCAGCGCCTAAGGAGGTTCCAGGAGAGATGGGAGGAATGTGGGACAAAGGATGGCGTGACAGGACACGGGGAATGGCTTCCCACTGGAGAAGGGGAGATTTGGGTGGGATTTTGGGAAGAAATCCTTCCCTGTCAGGGTGGGGAGGCCTGGATCCCTGGAAGGCCAGGCTGGAGCCACCTGGGACAGTGGAAGGTGTCCCTGCCACGGCAGGGGGTGGCACTGATGACATTTGGGGTCTCCCTCTCCCCCCGTACCGGGGCCTGGCCCTGCTCGGCCGCGATGTCGGTGATGGGATCCCGGTGCTGCTCCAGGACCTCGCTCAGCGTCACGTTGGTCCCTTTTGGGGGGATGTCAAACACCAGCACGGCCCCAAAGGACGTCCCTGTGGGGCCAGGGGGGTCAGCAGGGCCGGGCCAGCCCAGGGCCACCCCCCTGCCCACGCCCCAGGCTCACCCACGCAGATGAAGCGGCCGCCAGCAGCGGCGATGCCTCGGGCAAACATGGAATGTGCTGGAAGGGAACAGGTTTGTGTCACCCTGGGACAGGAATTGGGGAAGGGAAGAACAGGTTTGTGTCACCCTGGGACAGGAATTGGGAGAGGGAACAGGTTTGTGTCACCCTGGGACAGGAATTGGGAGAGGGAACAGGTTTGTGTCACCCTGGGACAGGAATTGGGGTCACACCCCAGGCCTGGCACAGGTTTGGGCCTGCCACAAGCAGATACTGAGGTGCTGGTGTGCAGGAGCTGGGAAGGTTCTGGAGCTCCAGGAGCAGCTGAGGGAGCTGGGAAAGGCTCAGCCTGGAGAAAAGGGGATCAGGGGTGTGGGAAATGGATTTGTAGAAAAGTTTTAAAGTTTGACAGTAGGGTTGGACAAATGGGGACCTTGTGGCTCTGCACAACTCCCTGACAGGAGGGGACAGCCAGGGAACAGGGACAGGATGACAGGAACAGCCCCAAGCTGTGCCAGGAGAGGTTTAGGTTGGATATTGGCAAAATTCCTTCCTGGAAAGGGCTGGAATTTCCACCCTGGCAGGGGTGGAGTCCCCATCCCTGGGGGGATTTAGCAGCCCTGTGCATGTGGCACTTGGGGACAGGCTCAGGGGTGGCTCTGAGGGACTCACCTGCCGGCAGCTCGGGGACATCCAGGGCGTGCCAGAACACCATGGTGGAGCCATCAGCCTCGTACATCTGCCACCCAGGGACAGGCTGGGACACTCTGGGGGGGACAGGGGACCCCCAGGACCCCCCAGTGCCCCCCAGGCCTCACCTGGACCCCGCGCTGGGACGTGAGCACCAGCAGCACCCGCGCCGGCAGCTGGCACCACGCGGCCTGCGGGGACAGAGAGGGGACACTGAGGGACCCCTCCTGGGGCAGCACCCCCAAAACCTCCCTCCAGCCCCACCTTCTGGGGGTCTTCCCGTGGGGAACCCCCAAAACCCCTCCTGAAGGCTCTCAAACCCTCCTACAGGAGAACCCAAACTTCTGCTGGAAGAGGAGCCCCAAATCTCCTCCTGGAGCCCCCCAAATCCTTCTCCTGGATCAGGAGCCCCCAATCTCCTCCTGGAGCCCCCCAAATCCTTCTCCGGGATCAGAAGCCCCCAGATTTTCTCCTGGAGTCCCCCAGACCACTCCTGGAGCCCTCCAAACCCCTTCTCCTAGAACAAGAGCCCCCAGATCTCCTCCTGGAACAGAAGCCCCCCAAATCTCCTCCTGGAGTCCCCAAACCTACTTCTGGAGTCCCCAGACTCCTACCCCTGGAACAGGAGCCCCCCAAACTCCTCTAGGAGCTCCACAGTTTCCTCCTGGAGCCCCCAAAACTCCTCCTCCTGGAACACGAGCTCCCAAATTTTCTCCTGGAACAAGAGCCCCCCAGTTCCCTCCTGGAGCCCCCCAGTCTCCTCCTGGAGCCCCCAGTCCCCCTCCCAGGGGGCAGTGCCCTCCCCCAGGTGTGTTTGATGTCCCCACAGGTCAGACCCCCCAGCTTCCCCCAGACCCCTCAGGGGGCTCCTTTCCCCTCCCCACACTCTGGCCCCTCAGGATCCTGAATCCCCCCGCCCCATTTCAGTGCCAGGGCCGTGTCCCACCCCCTGCCCGCTGCCAGCAGCGCTCTGCCCGCCCCTCACCTGGGTCAGCAGGGGCGTGCTGAGGGCAGAGCCCCCTCCCCTGGCCTGCAGCTGCCGGGGGGGCCCCTCGCTGGCCAGCAGGCTGAGACTGCTGCCGTGCACGGCTCCGAAGGCCGGGGCCCGGGCGGGGCCGCACAGCACGGCCAGGTTGTTGTACAGCGCCGAGCTGCTGCTCCGCAGCGCCAGGCTCCGCTCCCGCCGGTACGGCCTGACACAGCCCGAGGGGCTGCCGGGGCACCGGGGGGCACGGCCAGGGGGCTGCCGGGGCACCGGGGGGCACAGCCGGGGGGCTGCCGGGGCACCGGGGGGCACGGCCAGGGGGGTGCGGCAGGGGCTGGAGCGGATCCGAGGGATGGGATGGGGATAGAGAGGGAATGGGGGCGGATTGAGGAGGGGCTGGTGTGGGTCCGGGGATGGATCCACACGGGGAGGGGAGATCCAGGGAGCCGGGAGCTGCTCCAAGGGGGTCCCGAGAGCTCCAGGGGGCTGAGGGAAGATCCAGGGGAGTGGGGGGCAAATTCAGGGGAGAGAGGGGCAGATCCGGAGCAGTGGGGGCAGATTC